AACGCCCGCGTCTAATGCGCCTTACGTCTATATATATATATATATATTCCTACCGCCGTTTATACCTCGGGTATAACGTTAGTCCGACCCGCCCGGCCTTAAACACAGCTATACCTAGTGCATGATACTTTTACGTAGTGAAGTCGCATTATTTGTATATATATATATATTCTAATTACTATTAAAATTAATATATTAACACGATTTATTCTAATTAAGAGATATAAAGTATTCATTCCGATTACGAGGGATGATTTCCGTATCGTCATTTTTCGTCACTACCTCCACGTTCCGGGAGTGAGTAATTTACGCGCCTGCTGCTTTCCTTGGATGTGGTAGCCGTTTCTCAGACTCCCTCCCCAGAATCGAACCCTGATTTCCCGTTACCCGTAACAACCATGATATTGATAGTAACTACTATCATAACATGAAACTAAAAAGTAAAAAATAAATATAGTTTAAAAAACTAAAAGAACACGCTTTTAAAGCACATCGAACTAAAAAGTTAAAAATAATTTTTAAAATAATTATGAACAAAAAATACTAGTATTATTGTGATAAAAGCGTGGGTGCATTGTGTCATATTTTTCGTATATTGAGCGCCCGACGCTTTTATCACAATAATACTAGTATTTTTTGTTCATAATTATTTTAAAAATTATTTTTAACTTTNTTTTCATAATTATTTTAAGAATTATTTTTAACTTTTTAGTTCGATGTGCTTTAAAAGCGTGTTTTTTTAGTTTTTTAAACTATATTTATTTTTTACTTTTTAGTTTCATGTTATGATAGTAGTTACTATCAATATCATGNTTTATGACATCGCTCTCACAGTCATGGAGTGTTTATTGTCAATTATGACTATTAATAAATATAATTTCTGTATCGCCAGTAGTATGTTTATAAACTCACAACAATGTGTCTTATTACCATTGATAATAAAAGCTATATACCTGCGAATATCGTCATAAAAAACCAATTAGCTACTTGTATTTGTAATCCCTTATATATTATACATGTATGTTAATTAAAAAAAATTTGAACCTTTAAATGTTTATATCTAATAATAAACAATAAAAATTAGTTTATACACACATATATATATATATATATAATATTGATGATACACACACATGTACGGGTACGATAATCAAAAATAAAATTATACAGGAATAGTGTCCCCGACGTGGCAAGCGCTTTCGCTTGAATGATAAATTGATCGGCCATCGTACGCCGTTATTCTTTTATTTGTTCACTATACCCTTGTTCTCGAAGTTCTCGTGCTCTTGTACACCACCCTTGGGCCCTGACCATCGCTAAATAATATCATTGCTGCAGTCGCTTTTCCGTCGTCTGTTCTCATTTGCCATTACGTGCCTGCATCTACACTCTGACTCGTGATACTCAGACACCATTACCGCAAGATCTCATATAGACCACATATCACTATCAACAGCTTCATCTGTTTAGCTGAGATTATTTTTTAATGTTATTTATTATTTGTTTTAATTGAGTATAACTATTTTGTTTTATGCCGCTTGGCCGGCCATTAGTATTTAAGGGCCCCTGTTACCCCTTAAATTTAAGATTCTCTTTGAAGAATTTCTAATATATATGATTATTTGTTATTTATCGTTATTATTATGTTATTGTCTACTCTCGTTACTTATTGAATGTGCCGTTGACCGTCATCCATCCAGGTGACCCCTCTCCTGCTTCAATAAAGCGTTTTAAACAGGCTTAAGGTGTTTTACCATTCTAGTGCGGTGCACAACTAGCCGTCCTACAGTCTGGCTGCCTTGTACGAGACAATTGCATAGGCCGCAATGTCTCTGTGATGCCTTGAAAGGATGCGGAATCACCAGGATTAAAATTAAACAATTGAAAATATGTTCGTACGTTTCCTTGCGTTGTCCGCCTGCACGATGTTCGTTGGACACAGACATTAAGCTTAGAGGATTAGTTACTCAGATTTTTAGTTCTAAATAATTGGATTAATGTAAATTTAAATAAATAAAAAACTGGTGTACTTCACAAATATTCGTCACTTGTGTATACTAGTCAAATTGTCGGAACACTATACTTGTACAATTATTGGTCACTTGCCAGTTTCCCGCGGATTGTCGGTAATTGTGACACAAGTCAAAGGAATTAGTGGCTTGACAAGTTTACACTTGTCACTAGTACTTAGCCAATATTTGATTTTAGGGTGGCTATCGGTAACATAATTTTTTCTTCCCCACCCACCTGTATTTGTACAGTATAGCGGTGTTTTATATTGACCTAATTATTTATTTAATTTAATAGATAGGTAAAACTATTTTATAGTATAATTGTTATATATAAATTCAATTTTTATAAATAATTTAACAGTTAAGGTTGATTATACAATGTATTAATTTTATAACTTATTAATTTATGAATATTATGTATAAAGTAAATATTATTGGAAAGTTTAAAATTTTACTTAATTGTTATGCGAATATTTTCATTATTTCTATAATATAATACTTCTATAGTCAGAAAAATTTTACAAAGACAACAATTCTTTCTAATTAAAATACATATTTTTAAAAAAGTAAACTTAGGTTGATTTTTTTCAAACACTTGTTAGTAGGTTAAAAGATATATTTGTCTTTTTTTTACTTCGCTAAAATAACTGTACAAAAATTTAATTTAACGAGTTACAACAATATATAAACTTGCTCATTTTGACTGGACTCTTTAAAAATATATTTTATTACAAAAATAATGAAATTTAATTTTTACATAATCCAGAAAAGTGTTTTTAAACTTTGAGTGTAACTACACGCATTGGCATCAGCTATATTTACTACTAATATTAATTCGTCGTCGTGCAAGAAGTGAAATTTTTTTTTTGTATCAGTAATTAAAGGTTGAAAATTTCTTTGAATGACTAAAAATTTTCGATTCAAATAATTTTAACTATTGAAAAGTATACTATTGTTTATTATTTATTATCTATTATTGATATAGAAGTTTTTTTTTAAATTAAAAATAAAATCAAAAAAAAAAAAGAATAATAAGTCACAAGTCACTTTTTTGCACGACTGCAACGAATTAATTATTTATGTTATAGTTAATAATAACTCTAAAATTCTAAAAATTATACATAAAAAAAAGAAAATTTACTTTGGTAGGAAGTATTAATTAATTAGTTATCGATTTAAGATCGATTAAAAAATGTAATTTACTAGTTTTTAACGTAAAATTTACAAATTAAAAAAATAAAATTACATTTTTTTTCAATTAATTGTTTGTACTTTAAGTATTCTTCACACATAATTATGTATGAAACATAAATAGCCATTTTATCATTATCACTAGCCATTTTAATTAACTTAAAATTAATTAAATAGACAACAACTAAAAATTATAGGTAAAAGTTAAAGAACTAAATTAACTAAAAAAATATTAAACTAAACGGTATCAAAACTAGCAATACTAAAAAATGTTTTTCAAATAACTCACTAAAACGTTGAAATACTACAGCGCTAAAAAAGTAAATGATACATAACTTAATATTTTTCTAATCCCACCTCAATACAATTATTGGCAATTGAACCAGTCGTAGGAATAGTATACTTGGCTTTTGTTTATTACTTGTACAAGTGTACAAGCACTGGTGTACTTGTCAAGTATACCAGTCATGGGAACGCTTCACTTGTTAATATTTGGATGATTTGGCAAGTACACCAGTCGTGGAAATCCGGCTGTAGATAAGTAGTTATTAATCATATTGTCTTGTTTATTTTTAATCTTATTATTTTGACTCTATTGTTGCATTTGTATTAAATGTACCCCTACCCACATTGATATAAATATATATATATAAACAGAGTGATTTTTTTATCATAACCCACTCATTACTTACAGAATAATAATAATTTAAACAATTTTTTTTTTTTTATCTTTAGTTACACATTATTCTTGAATTTTTAACTATGTAATACTTTTTAAGTTCATCCCTTATGCCTTGTAAGGGGGTCAACTTTGTTTTTTAAATGGTAACACATATTTTTAATTTAATAAAATGTTTGAGTTTTTAATTTATTAGTAAATGGCATTTGAATTTTTAATATAACTTTATTCGTTTATTAGATATAATCATTTAAAATTACAAATTTTGGAGTAAATATACAGGTATAATACACAAGGGATTACAAATATAGGTAGCTAATTGGTTTTTATTTTATGCATTGCTATCACAGTCACGGATTGTTTATTATCAATTATGACTATCAATAGATAAACTTTTTGTATTGTCAGTTAGTCTATTTATAAACTCACAACAATGTACCTTACTATCATCGATAATAACAATGCTGTGTACCTGCTAATATCGATGTCATTAAAAATCAATTAGCTACCTGTATTTGTAATCCCTTGTGTATTATACCTGTATATTTACTCCAATATTTACAAGGCATAAGGGATGAACATAAAAAGTATTACATAGTTAAAAATTCAAGAATAATGTGTAACTAAAGATAATAAAAAAAAAAATGTTTAAATTATTATTATTCTGTAAGTAATTGAGTGGGTTATGATAAAAAAATCACTCTGCATATATATATAATATTTTTTGGTTTATATTTATTATATAGTTAAATGATTATATGCTTTAAATTTATTTTATTCATTCATACAGTCTATTACTCTACTTAAGCAAGGGAATGGACTGTTAGAAAGAATTCTTTCTCCTGCATGAGTAGAGACAAAAATTAACGAGTGTGTTGACCAACCCGCACTAGTATTACCTGTCGGGTAGCGTTAAATCAAGGAGTTGATGTTGTTATTGAAATAATCTAACAATTTCTTCTAAAACTTTAACACTGTACTCAGATTGGTATCGAAATATTATTAATAGAAGTGTTTTTAAATTCAGATAACATCTATACACAGTTCCCACTGTGCTGGGTTTTTATAGATAAATCTAATAATATTATTATTACTTCTAATAATTCAATTCATTTTAGGAAGGCCAATTTAACGATGTAGCATCATCCTCTTTGGAATATATCTTTAGAAGTAATTACGAAAATACTGGAGGTATGTCGTATGATGAATTTCGAAATCTATTAAAATCTTATGATTTCATATACGATATGGAAGATAGTAAAATCGAAAAACTATTTAAAGATGAAGTTAATAACAGTAAGTAAAACTCTAATAATTAGAGTTTATTATCATAATTATTATGATAATAAAGTTTAATTTTATTTTGGCCAAATACTATTTTAACTGATGCTGTAAATTTAATGTACTAAATGTACATTTTTTCGCTATATTAATAAAAATTAGAAAAATTAAAAATTAGACAACTATAAATAAGTGCTATTGTAGCGCATACAAAACTTAAAATACACCCAATTCTAAAGGTAAGCTTCTAATTTAATTATAGTGTTTGTCTAAGGCACAATCACAATTTTATTGGTGGGTTAATTTTAAATTATACGAATTATTATTTTTTACTGAAAACCCTACTACGAATCAATATTAAAAAAATGATTTGAGCAAAAAAAAAAATTCATGGTTACTTATAAAATTATAACTTAAAATCCACGTTATAAGACATATAATATTTGTATACTTTTTGCGAAGAGTTTAGATCTCCTTTCAGTATTCACTTTGAAAGTTCTAAATTTCGTCACTACTTATAAAATAAATATATTCTAATAGAAATTCCTAAATTTTTTTGGAGAATACCCGTACGTTTAATGTGATATTTTCATAACCCGTTTTTGGAAAACTGGTATTTTACAGTAAGTTGATATTTTTAAGTAACCATACTAATGCATACATTTTAGAATCCATAAAAATCATCATGAAGTCATTGATATGCGTTTATTTTACGAAACCACATAAACCATTAACACATAAATAAATCGACCAAAAATAAGTAATGATAGAGTATGGCTATGAAAAACCTATCAAGTTTAAATTTTCCCTAGAATGGGTCTAGGCGATAATAGAAAATTCATAAAACAATATTTAGATATCTAATAAAAAAAAAAATTATTCTTTAATACTTATTTTTTAGCGGTGATGAGGACCGCTCTTTAACGCGCATTGTCATTGAAATATTTTTGAAGACAGGCGATTCATAACAATAACCAGCTCTAATAAAAAAACATTTGTTTTGTAAAATTCGAAATAAAATGTAAAACAGTTGGAATGTTAACAAGTGTAATTATTAAATATCATAATTTTATGTTAAAACACTCCATATTTTGATTATTGAAATAAGCAGTAATCTCTCGACTGCGACCAACTTTTAGCTTCGATGCGAAGCTGAGAAGGTATTGGTTTTACTATGATGTGTTTTTTTTTTGTGTCTGTTACCACTTTTTCTCAGCTCTTACCGAACGGATTTCTTTCAACGATACGTCAAAAGATCACAAATCGTATCTAGTCAAAGACTTTATCCTTCAAAATTGAAAAAATTTCCCTCGTTCCCCGTAAATGGGGGAAACATCCAAAAAAATTACAAATTTAAAAATCGCTAATTTTCGAAATTTTTTCAATTTTTTTTACTAAAAACTGCCGTAACTTTTTCAAAAATGAATATATCAATATAATTTTTTTTTATATAGATGCTTGATGTCTTTACCTATCATTTGGTATATTTTTTTTGTAAATTTGAC